CCGATGAAGAGCAGCAGCCGCTCCCCCCGGGAATTCCTGGCGGGAATTCCGCCCATCCTGGGAAAACGGGGAGCAGGGAACGGGTCAGGAATGGGGAATGGGATCGGGGAATGGGGAACGGGATCGGGAATGGGGAATGGGATCGGGAATGGGGAACGGATCAGGGAATGGGGAATGGATCCCAGTAAACTCCAGTCCATCCCAGTGACTCCCAGTGACTCCCAGTCCATCCCAGTGACTCCCAGTGACTCCCAGTCCCTCCCAGTGACTCCCAGTGACTCCAGTCCATCCCAGTGACTCCAGTCCATCCCAGTGACTCCCAGTGACTCCCAGTGACTCCCAGGCCATCCCAGTGACTCCCAGTCCATCCCAGGGACTCCCAGTGACTCCCAGTCCATCCCAGTGACTCCCAGTCCCTCCCAGTCCATCCCAGTCCCTCCCAGCCCCTCTCACTGGTCGTCAGTGTGGATGGGTCCCCCTCTCGGCGCCTCGCCCTGGATGGACTCCATGGCGGTGGAGTAGAGCGCATCCCAGTGACTCCCAGTCCATCCCAGTGACTCCCAGTGACTCCCAGTCCATCCCAGTGACTCCCAGTCCCTCCCAGCCCCTCTCACTGGTCGTCAGTGTGGATGGGTCCCCCTCTCGGTGCCTCGCCCTGGATGGACTCCATGGCGGTGGAGTAGAGCGCATCCCAGTGACTCCCAGTGACTCCCAGTCCATCCCAGTCCATCCCAGTGACTCCCAGTCCCTCCCAGTCCATCCCAGTCCCTCCCAGCCCCTCTCACTGGTCGTCAGTGTGGATGGGTCCCCCCCTCGGCGCCTCGCCCTGGATGGACTCCATGGCGGTGGAGTAGAGCGCATCCCAGTGACTCCCAGTGACTCCCAGTGACTCCCAGTCCATCCCAGTCCCTCCCAGTCCATCCCAGTGACTCCCGGTCCCTCCCAGCCCCTCTCACTGGTCGTCAGTGTGGATGGGTCCCCCTCTCGGCGCCTCGCCCTGGATGGACTCCATGGCGGTGGAGTAGAGCGCTCTCTGCGCCGCGGGCCGGCCGCGCCCGTCGCCCGGGCGCTGCCCCGCGGCCGCGCGCTCGCGCTGCGCCTGGTCCAGGCTGTGGATGGCCACCAGCAGGCTGTAGTCCATGATCTTGAAGCTCTGCAGCACCTGCAGGGCGGGAGAGGCACGAGCCCCGTGAAGAAACCCCACAGCACCCCGAATTCCCCCAAAAAACTGATTAAAAACCACACAACACCCCGAATTCCCCCCAAAAAACTGATTAAAAAACCACACAGCACCCCGAATTCCCACCAAAAAACTGATTAAAAACCCCACAACACCCCGAATTCCCCCAAAAAACCTATTAAAAAACCCCACAACACCCCAAATTCCCCCCAAAAACTGATTAAAAACCCCACAACAGCCCGAATTCCCCCAAAAACTGATTAAAAACCC